AAGCCATTTCCAGGGGTGGACTGTCAGAGGTCTTCAGATTATTCGGTTCCTGAGTTCTGCTTGATTTTCATTTTAGCTATAGTATAAAAACCGGAAGGTTCTCCAGAAGCAGAGTACGTAAGTACTCCTTATTTTGCAGTTTATATCCCTGCTGTATCTCCTTTTGGCTTTCAGTGGTATTTATTTTATTCTGCGGGATGGTCTTAAAAGATTTCTGTGATAAGCTAAAATTAGACTTGTGGTTTGTGCTTGAAATCCATTCTCTTAAAATCTTATGTATCAATTCCACAAGCTTGGGTGTCTTATCAGTTTACTTAGTTCTTTTCAGAAATCTGATGTAATTCATAAGATACCTGAGACTCATTTTTTTGTCTCCGTAAAAGTTTTTCTAGTATTTTCGTTATAGTCCTGCTCTTAAAACCAACAAGACCCCAATCTACAAAGCAGAGTAGGGTTGAGTGATCCTGTAAAAGTGTTAAATATTGGGAACATAAACTAGTTTACTAGGCACGATCTCTGGAGCTTTGTGGGTTACAGAGAAAATGAAAAAAAAAACATATTTGAAATGCTCCCAGGTTAATGATGATTTATTAAAGTTGTATGCTGCCAGACTCTAAATGACTCTGGGTGGCTCACAATAATCAAAAAATTACAAGATATTTTGAATGGGTTGGGCACGTGTGATGCGGTTCAGTGACTTTAACCTAATCATTACTGGAAAACAATTAAACATCCTACACATCTCTTGCAAGGATTTCAGATTTTTGCTTGTAGCAATTCATGTATTTCTCTTCTATGGAATTTCTACTTTTTTCGTGCACTTTCTAAATTAGAATCCCATCACTGCTTCTTATGTTAATGAATTGAATAAGTTAATTATGTGTTGTGTGAGAAATGCTTCACTGGGTTTCTATTTTATTGTACGCTTCTGAATATTCTTTTTGAAAGGTGAATAAATGGGGGGGGAGGAAGGTTTTTCTAAGAGGTCTGCAATAATTTCTCCCTCAATTTGTTAATTTAGCAATTGCTACTATTTTTTAATTTTACTTTATTTTTTACTTTATTTTTATTTATTGAATGACTTAAGTTTTTAGAGAGATTGAGGGAAGCTGATTTCTAAGAACAAAGCAGGATGCCATATATGAGATAACTACTTATTTAGCTTGTGATTCTTAATTAACAGCTTTCATCCCCTCCCTTAATTATTCTGGTTTAGATACAAGAATCTTCTAAGTGATGTCTCATTTATAAAAGTGGGCCAATCATGCTCCTTTCATGTCCACAATATTGCTTGTTTGAACAGATGATTTTGTTCCCTTTTTTTCCTACTTCCAAATTAATTTGTATTATTTTTTTAAAAAGTGTCTAAATTGTATTTTCATTGAAAGCATTTCAACTCAACCATTGGTATATCAAACAATGCTGAGATGTGTTACTATTTTTGAAGAAATGCCAAGCAGGTTGGGAGAACTTCAGAATTGTTCATCCTTCTCACAGTGCTGTTCAGGATATTACAAAGAGAAATTCACACCTAAAACCATCCTTTAAGCTTTTCCCCTTTAGTAAATTTGTCTTGTTCGTGATTGTGTTTCTCATTCAATTTATTAATTCCATTAGGAATGATCCATTTTCCATTGGACTATAGTGAAGTTGACAACATGCATGGCTTTTTTGGTGAGATTTGATAGTGGTGACAATTGTATCTAAAATCTCCAAGTTCATAAGACTAGCCTGCAATTTTATAATATAAAAATATTTTAACAGAAATAAAATTGATTGTTAGAAGGAGATTTATCTGTGTTTCCTGTTTTTTTTACCTTGAAAAAAACTGGAAAAATCTTACTGTTTTTTGATAGAAAGTGCATCTTGATTGCTTTACTTATACAGACACATGCACACAGATAGAATGGTTTTTCCTACCTTCTCTGGCAGAGCCTGTAGCCCGAGAATAACATTGATTCCAATTATTACAATAAAATTACACAATATGGTGCCAAATGATCACAAAACTGTCCACAGTCAATTAATCAAAACTCAACTCCCTGGAATAGTAGGAAAATATTAACAGCTATGGATTATCCAGAGCCGCTGAGAACTCGGCAGCTTCTGTGGTATTGTTTTTACCCTGATCTGACTTGCTTTTGGGATGTTTGATATCTCAGTGAATTTACTTCAACAAAGTGGAGGGAACGCCAAAAACAGGGAGGGTACTGGTGTGTGTGTGTGTGTGTATACAAATGTAGGAAGGCTAAAGAAAAAGGATACGCGGTGCATAAGAACCCAAGAAAGCCAGAGAAGGAGGGTGTGGAATGTGTGTGTGTGTGTGTGTGTGAATGTAATGTGAATGTGAATGAAGAGGGAAGGGAGGACGTCATACGTGCCGGCAAAGAAAGATCAGGGATGGATGGAAGAGATTCACCTGAGTATCTTTCCTCATTCGTTTGTAGGAAGACAGCAGGGAAGGTCACAAATTGTGATCAAGTGTCCACAGGTTGATGCAACCAGTTTTAAGGGCAAGATGGTTGCCAAGTGCCTAAATTCATGCAATAGATTAGCACTGGGCTGAATTTTTAGGAAATTTCCCTGTTGCGTTGAAATGTGCACACGTAAAGAAAACTACTGTATTTCAGAAAGTTGAAATTTTTATGCCGTTTAATGTTTTTAGAACTTTATGTGGATTCCAACTGATAGAGCCTAGTGGTGGCCTAGTGGTGAAGTTACTCGCTTGCCATTAGGAAGGTTGAGAATTCAATTCTAGGTAGCAAAAGATGTTTCTCTCCTAGGGCGCAAAGAAAAAAAAAATCTGCTGCAAACTTTGCATGGTATCAGGAAGGTCATCCAGTCAGTAAACCCCACCCAGTTGCCCTGATGCTACTGTAATCCTGAATTAAGGGATTACAGGGTTGTAATAACCTTTTTATGTGGATCCAATTGACATGTAAGAGAAGACTCAGTAAAGAAATAATACTAGATTATTTATTTCCTCCTAATACTAGATTATTTATTTCCTCTAATATAGCACATACCTATGTGAAAACCTATTTTAATGACTACAATTAAAGGCACAATAGGGTCCAGTTGTCTGAGTATTTCATTGATTTGGGTCAGGCCTTTCTTGTATACATTTGATAAACTTTGTCTTTCTTCATCATGATTTTCTAGAGGAAAATCATGCCTTGTTCAAAAGCAATTTCTGAAGACCCCCTGTTAAAAATCATTGATACCTCTCAACCCTGAAGCATGATCAGTCAGGCACATATAATACTGAAATGGAGAAGATTTGGAACAATTATGAATCTTCCCAGAAGTGGCCATCCTTTTAGCGCACCACATCTGAATTGAAGCCATGGATGATAAATCAGATATTTTACCCAGTTAGATAAGGGACCACTGATTACCGGAAGCATTTGAAAACAGTTAATTGCAGCTACAGTCAGTTATTGAAACGAATGGGCTATTATTTTGTCATTGGTACATGTCATGTTGGACAACTTTAATCATGAAATCAGTGAAACCCCCAACCTTTGGTATTGCTGGTTCACTCAGAATCTTTTTATAAACAGGTAGTCTGCTTAATGACTGGTCACTTAGCTGCCATTCAAAATTACGATGGACTTCCTCAGAGCTACTTATGACCCATTTTTGAAGTTACAACAGTTGCACATGCTTCCCTGCAGTCATGGAATTACATTTTGGGCACTTGGCAACCATCTTGATTTTACGGCCATTAACGGTGTTCTGCGGTCCTGTAACCATGATTTTTGCCTCTTTTGCCAGTTTTTGGCATCTACTTCCAGTTTCTGGCAAAAAACCCCCAACAATCTCATTGGGGAAAATGGACTTGCTTAATGACTAAGGCATTGGCTTAATGACTGCAGTATTCATTTAATAACCACCACAACAGAGGATGTAAAATTGGGCGCAGTCACATAGTGACCTGTTTAACAACTGCCCTGATTTATGACTATAATTCGGGGCTCAATTAGGATCGTAAATTGAGGATTACCTGTATTAGTAGGACCTGTATGAACCTCTAAGAATCTGAATGGCAAAGATACACCAATGTTAAAAGGAATAAATGCTTCTTTCATAGTACCGTGTACTTAGAATAATAGTCCTAACAATCACCTATTTTCTTCTCTGAATGTGCAAGAAGTTAATTGTAGAAGAATGTCATTCATATAAAAGTTGAAGGCATAGTATTTCTATTATTTCCTGTCAAAAACATAAGACAGGCACTTTTTAAAGCTGGAAACATGTTTTGCTTCCAAATGTCTTAACTGTTACTCAAGAACTCATAGTAAAGTGGTTCTTATTGTCCTTTGTTATTCAGTGCTTGATTCTGCTGCTACTTATGAATTTAAGATGGTAAGCACCATATTTTAATGGTACAAATGCAATTTTATATGAAAAAAATATTGTGTGCAGTAAGTTGAATAAGATAACATTGATATGAGTGAGATGTTTAAGTTGTAGGTTTAAAGAGGTATACAAGAATGAGTTGAAAATTTAGAAAGTACCCTGTTTTCCCCAAAATAAGACATCCCCCGATAATAAGCCCAATCAGGCTTTTGAACGCATGGCAATAAGGCCAAGCGCTTATTTCAGGGTTCAAAAAAATATAAGTCAGGGTCTTATTTTCAGGGAAACATGGTATCATTTTGGTCTAAGACTGAGGAAGGTTCCATGATCTTAAGTCCCAAACTCTGAGGTGTTGGGAGTATCAGAGAAAGTTGTGATTTGTGACTGGTTCATAGAAGATAATAATTTGACATTTGAGGTTTTCCCTTCAAGAATTAATGAATCTGTAAGACTGTTTTGGAGAAAATAAGGAAAGGATTGAGCAAATGCAAAAGTCCCTGTGGGTTGCTAATCTGATTGTGGTACAGCCGTAATTTTTTGCTGTAGTATATAGAATGCTGAATGTTTTTTTTCAATAAAACCCTAATCATAAATGCATAATTTAGGGGGGAATCTTTTTTGTTTGTTTTCTTTTGCAGATGTGCAGATCAGCTCTCAGAATGTCTTCTGTGTCTGCTGCCTATCTTCTAAACCAGTTGTGTTAGCCTTCCAGCTAATTGACTAATAGAATTAATAACAGTAAAAACAAAACACAACAAAAAGCATTGTAGAGCCACATGCCTTATGAAGTCAATGCTGGGTATGATTTTACAAGTATGTATTTTTTTTTAAGTAGAAATGTTAACTGGAAAACTTCTTGGCACGCCATAAAGCATTGTGCAATCTGTTATTTGTCTTAGAGATAATAATTGTAGAATGCCTTATATTCTTTCTTTATATTTCCACTCTCTCTAGTGTGACTTGCCAATAGATAGTTTCTCCATTTAGAAGTACTGCAAATGGGCTTTTATTTAGATAATATGTCTTCTTGAATAATGATACTGATAGTGTACAAATGCAGAAAAAGGGATATATTTTTCAAATAGAGCAATGTAGTAGATAGTGTCCAAAAAACTTTATTTTTAGAAAAACTTGATATGAGCGGGCAGGGAATATTATTCTTATTTCTAGATAAAATCTGTTTCATTTGAGTTTCTCATATGTTACAGTGGGTGGCCTGAGAAGCTTAGGAATTTCTACCTTTTGCTCCATTTCCTAAGTATCTGTTCTTAAGTTCCAGACTGGGGAAGAATTTGGGGTGGGATATTACTCCAGCATTGGAAAAAAAATTGAATGAAGTAGCAGCTGTTTCTAAGTTGCCTTCTCAAATTTATTTGGGCAATAAGAGTATGATTAAGTCTATAAATATGGACTGAGTTTCATGAATGCCTTCTGAGATAAGATATTCGTTAACTGTTGAATATTTGTGTCTGCCTTAGGAGCCTCTTTTCTCTATTCACTTCTGTGCTTTCTAGTATAACTTTGGGCTTTGGTTATATTATTGAATTGCTACAATATAAAAAACACCTGCAAGACTCATTTTTGGAGATTGTATACTTGATAATCATGAAGATTGGGATTGTTGGGCCACAAACAATACAAAATTTGAATTAGCCTTATGATTACATGAAAACATTTTACTTTGCCTTAAGAAGTTTGAGATAAAAAGTTTCTTTCTCTCAAGCAATTGGCAGTTATCTAAAACATTTTTTTAATTGTATTGGTAGATCAATCTTTACCAAATGGATTCAGCCCTTAATTCTAGCTAACAGGACCGGGAGATGGGGGATGCCGAAAATTTTAATCTAGAATATTAGTTCTGGCATAACATCTTAATAAAGTTCTTTCTTATTAGTCTAGTACAGGGCTGTCAAACCCGTGGCCCGTGGGCCGGATGCATCACACACTGGCCATGCCCATTCCAGTTTAGCAAAGGGGAAAAAAGTCCCGATAATGACATGACACCACCATGACGACATGAGTTTGTCCCCCCCCCCCCTTGGTCTAGTATAACACAAAGGTGACACATTGCTGAAACCAGAAGAAGGAGACTTCAAAAATAAATAAATTTGTGTGCATGAATGTGCATGGCCTAAGAGTGATCCCATTATGATCCATTTGAGCTTATTTTTCCATCTTTCACCATTTTAATAAGAATGCAGCATGTTCTTCCTGAATGATACCAAAATATTAGTACTAAATACTAAGAGTCATGATGGCGCAGTGGTTGGAATGCAGCATTGCAGGATAACTCAGCTCACTGCCAGGAGTTTGATCCTGACCGACTCAATGTTGACTCAGCCAATCATCCTTCCGAGGGTGATAAAATGAGGAGCCAGATTGCTGGGGCCAATATGCTGATTTTGGAAACCGCTTAGAGAGGGCTATAAGGCATTGTGAAGCAGAGTATAAGTTTGTGCTATTGCTATATCAACTGATGTATTTAACTGGAGAAAATCTAAGTAGCTTAACTTCCTTTGTCATCCTGGCTCCTCTAGATATCATGCAATCATAACACCTAGAATTTGCGGTAAGTTTTGAGAGATCCCAAAGATTTCAAGGGTTGAGGAAAGCTGCATCTCAATGTGATATTTTTATTATATTTGGGTTCAATCTTGAAATAATTCCTTTTACAAAACTTTGTTCAAATTGTACGTTGCCTGGTGGAATTTGGTCTCATTCCTGGGATCTAACAGAATAGTTTTATATAACTATCAATTAATTAATTAATAGTGAATTGAGTTAGTTAGACCAAATTTCAACAAGATTGTCTAGCCAACGTATGGTACAACAATAAAAGATCAACATGAAATCACAATTATGTTTCTGTCCTTTCTGTAGAACTTCCTCCCCTTCATGTAAGTAGGATTTATTTCCAAGTCTGGCTTAGCAAGATTGTACAAAATCTTCTGGAGAAGCATGTCTGGCAAACATTGTTTATGTTTCAATATGGGAACGGGTGGAGGGGGCGGATGGCCTGCTTGGGTGTGTTATACATTGTTGTTATCTTACTCTATCTTTTGTATACACATTTTTATTTTTATTTTTAGATATGGTCCGGAAAAAGAATCCCCCTCTAAGAAACGTTGTTAGAGAAGGAGAAACAGAGACCCTTCAGTCGCCAGGTACAGAAAGTGACAATACTGAAAGAAAAGAACAATTTTCTGCCGGTCAGATGCAAGACAACACTGAGTTGGGTGAGGCTGTGGAGCAAAATGATGAGGACTTTTGCACGCATGTCCCAGAGCCATCTCCCAGCTCTAAAAAGGACTTGAAAAGCTCTACAACTAGTGAAAAGGCTGGCTTCAATTATGAAAGCCACAATAAGGGAGGAAATGTTCCATCCTTCCCTCATGATGAGATGACAGACAGAAATATGCCGGCCTTCTCATCTCCAGCTGTTGGGGGAATCTCTGAGTCCTTGAAGTCTCCTCTCAGATCAGATGCAGATGACACCCAAGATGTGGCCTGCAACCTGTCAGTAGATCTGACGGAGAAAAGTGAAGAGACTCGCACGTCACCAAAATCTATGGATGAAACAATGCACGTGCAAAGTGGTCAAGCTGAGGGCCGGGGTTCAAGCCCAGCCTCGTTGGCCTCAAAAAACCCACAAGTGCCTTCAGATGGGGACTTAAGGCCAATCAAATTGAAAGCAGATTTGTCGGCAAATGAGAACCCAGATACGGCGCCTCTGTCTCCAGAGCTTCAGGACTTCAAATGCAACATCTGTGGCTACGGTTACTATGGGAACGACCCCACAGATCTTATAAAACACTTCCGCAAGTACCACCTCGGGCTACACAACCGCACCAGGCAGGATGCTGAGCTCGACACTAAAATTTTGGCTCTCCACAATATGGTGCAGTTCAGCCATTCCAAAGACTTCCAGAAAGTCAACTGTTCTGTGCTATCAGGGGTTCTGCAGGACATCAGTTCCCAAAGGCCCGTTTTGCTAAATGGGACTTATGATGTGCAGGTTTGTATATATATATTATCTCTTGGCTCCTAACCCCTTCCTCCCCAAACAACAACAACAACAACAACCCCAAAACCAAAGCATGTAAATGTATTATTAATTCTATAATGAAAAAGAAAAACCTGAATCAGTTACTATGGGAAGTTAAATGTTTGTAGCCATGCCACTTAAACTTAGATACTATTTTCTACATTTTGTGTTTTAGCTACCCATAATTTATTTCAGAGAGGTAACTTCAGTAGACTCCAACTGCCCAGAGCCTGATATTAATGGATAATAACTCAGCCCCCACTATTTTTCCTATGTTTGTATTTGGAAATAAAAAATAAAAATGGTACCACCAAAAGTTAGTCATTTCACCACTACTGATGCAATCCTTACGTGCAGAGGAAGGCCTGAGAGGCAGGGGTGAAATGCTACCGGTTTGGCTGAACCGGTAGAGATGGCAGCAGGTGGTTTGGAGAACCTGTAGCGATGGCGAAGCAAAGCTCCACCCACCTGCCTGGTTGTTGTTACTTCCTGGTTTTAACCAGGAAGTAACCTGTTTTTTGGGTTTGCGCATGCACAGAGGGTCCACGCGCACAGTGCATGCACTTCCAAACCGGTAGGGAAGGTAAGGAGATTTCATCCCCGCTGAGAGGTAAATTGTAGACAGACAAAATTCTGGAAGGTTCCTTCAAGTTTTCCAGAGGCAGAAAGCCCCTTTCATAAGTACAAATCAATTTGATCAGCCTTTATCATTGTGTGCTTCATAAAATGGCTAACATATTGACATGGCAGGTCCTCCATTTATAAGGAAGCAAATTGGTGAAGTTGCTCTCCATCATTGTATGTAATCTCCTAGGATATTGTGTCTCCTCAAGTTACTTTTATTTTTTCCCCTCCTAGGGCAGATGTGCATACTTCCAAGCTGCTGCTGCTGCTCCTCTCTTGTTTTATTTATTTGTTTGTTGTTTGTTTGTTGGAAGAGTACCTTTAGACCTACAGGAAACAGATTCTTAAAAATAAAGCTGATGCACATTCTTATATGAGAATAAATAGTCTTTATGGTATGAAGACTATTCAGCATTATTGGTAATGTAGATTAATTAATAATAATTAGATTATTAATTATTATAATAATTAAGAAGAGGTTCAGTCTAGAACTGAGAAGAAATTTCTTGACAGTGAGAACAATCAACCAGTGGAACAGCTTGCCTTCGGAAGTTGTAGGTGCCCCATCACTGGAGACTTTTAAGAAGAGATTGGACAGCTGCTTGTCTGGAATGATATAAGGTCTCCTGCATGAGAAGGGGGTTCGACTAGAAGACCTCCAAGGTCTCTTCCAATTTGTTATTCTGTTATTCTATTAGATCTTACAACTCCCATCTCTCTGCTGCTGTGTTATAACATCATTGTTGTTGGCCCCGACCTGTTGTTTTTCAGACTCCAGACTGCTGCTGGTTTTGTATTGTGTCAGGGCATTTATTATTTATTTTATTTGATTTATATGCCGCCCTATCTTCGTAGGACTCAGGGCAGCTCACAACAATAAAATACCCGAATAAAAGCGTGTTAAAATACATGTTAACCCCCCCAGTCCAGGCTAAACAGCCATGTCTTTAAGTCACGGTGGAAGGTGCGGAGGTCAGGGGCCAAACGGAGCCCCAGAGGAAGTTGGTTCCAGAGGGTGGGAGCACTCACAGAGAAAGTTCTGCCTCTAGGGGTCACCAGTCGACACTGTCTAGCCGACGGCACCCTGAGTAGGCCCTCCCTGTGAGAACGCACCGGGCGATGGGGAGCTGTTTGCTGGTTGCAGATGGTCCGACAAATATCCTGGACCTAAGCCTAAGGCTTTATAGGTCATCACCAGCACCTTGAATCTCACCCGGAGGGCAACCGGCAACCAATGCAAGTCGCGCAGGAGAGGTGTAACATGGGCGTATTGGGAACCACCAATCACGACCCGCGCGGCTGCATTCTGTACCAGCTGAAGCCTCCGGATGGTCCTCAAGGGCAGCTCTAGTAGAGACTGTTGCAGTAGTCAATACGGGAGGTGACATACCACCTGCATACCGGGAGGTGGTAAAAGCACTTACCGTATTTTTCAGAGTATAAGACGGACCTTTTCCCCCCAAAAAAGAGGCTGAAAATCTGGGTGTGTCTTATACTCCAAATGTAGCCCCGCCCAGCTTCTCAAATGGAGGTTTCAGAGGCTGAAAAAAGCTTCAGAAACGAAGCTTCAGAAAAGAAGCCCCCAAACAGAGCTTCAGAAAAGAAGCCCCTAAACAGAGTTTCAGAGGCTTTTTTTCTGAAGCTCTGTTTCGGAGGCTTTCAGAGGCAAGAAAATAAAGTTTTTTCTGAAACAGAGTTTCAGAAGTTTCAGAGGCAGGAAAAAAAAGCAAAAAACAAACAAACAAACAAAAAAAAAGCAATGCGCAGAGCTCACAACCAAGGAACCCATTGCTAAAATTCACCTCTGGGAACAGCTGATTGGGGGTATTCTGGGAGGCCGATCCACCTGCCAATCAGCTTTTTTCTTATTTTCCTCCCCAAAAACTAAAATGCGTCTTATATCCCGGTGCGTCTTATACTCCGAAAAATACGGTACACATACCCATATATAAATGTACCATTAATTCTATAATGAAAAAAAGCCTAAATCAGTTACTATGGGGAGTTATGTATGTATTTATTTATTTAATTTTTATATTTATCTATGTATTTAATTTCTATAGCTACCCATCTCAGTAAGTGACTTTGGCAAACATACATCATAAACACATAAAACAATGAAGAATAAATATATATTGTATGGTCGCCCAGTATCCCTTCATGTTGTATACATGAAGACAAGATGGCATCGTAGATTAAGAGAAAGTATCCTTCCATCTAGTTTAATGCTGTTCACAATTATTTGTAGCTTCCAAGGGCACACAAAAAAAGTTCCTTGTTCTGTGTCCTTTTAACAAAGATGTTAAGAATTAAACCTGGAATTCTGTACAGATGACACATCTGCTATATCCCTGGTGTCAGTAATGTGTTGTGTCCAAGCAGCCCACTTTCCAACAGGGCAGTAAATCAGCGATATTTTGACATCACCAATAGAGGCAGTAATTAAATTTATAATCCTTTTTTTCATGTTGGTAACAGGCAGATATTTTTCTTCTTATTATTTAATATTTGTTTTGTAGAATTTCTTTGGTTTGCTTGAAGATGTTTCAATTCTCATTCAAGAAGCTTCTTCAGAACTTTTTTGTGGTTGGGGAGAGAACTGAAACAGAACCGAAGAAGCTTCTTGGATGAGAAGCAAAATGTCCTCAAGCAAAACAAAGAAAGTCTAGTTGCCTCTGAAAGAAAAGCACCTTTGGGACATGCTGAGAACTAGTGAGCCACATCTGAATGTAGTAGACAGGAACTTTGAATGAAAACAGGAAGAAATAAATAGGAAAAAGAACAAAAATGGTTGATGCAACTTTTTATTTAAAACATTTGCTATTTTTCTTCTTTTAGATGAGAACCTTGTAAACTGGCTAGCAACATTAAATTTAAAAAAAAATCTCAGAAAATTGGATCTGCATATTAAGTGATTAGTTCATCTTGGGTTAAAGGTTTGAAGGCAAGGACAGGATAGCTCTTGAAAGCAGTAAATTATATAAATTAAAAAAAAAATCAAGTCATGAATTTAAAAAAGTTGATTCAACCAGTGATAAAGACTAGCAGAATCAGAGCAGGAAGATGGCAAGGAAGGGTTTAATAGGAAAATAAAGGCAGATGGCTAATTTAAGCAGATAAATGTTTTAAGAATAACCACATTGTTTTATTATACCAATGAAGAATTAACTTCAAGAAAAGTCGATTTGCCAGGATTCCTCAGGTTTGAATCAATGTGCAGCAATGTGCTTTTCATTCTAGCATAGATGCACCCACACACATGTGCTCACATCATTTCTTTTTTTAACCGAAGCAGCACTGATTAACATATGAATCATTCAGTCTTTAAAATTTACTGCCTTGTGTAAGATACTCATAACTTTTTGTTTATAATTAGAATGCAAATGGGATTTAGATGACACAGTTAAGAAAGATAAGTGAGTATTTTCAGATTAGAAAGGTGAGTAAATATTTTTAGATTTGAAATTATGATTACACAGTAATTTGCTTGTGGCACTAGCATATATTTGGCTGTTTAAGAAAATACTTAAATAGTCACTTTGGGGCATTGATGGGTAGTAAACATATTTTAATGAACGAATTCCATGAGTGAATTACTGTTCTATGCTAAAAAAAATTCTAATATTTAAAAAGAAAACTTGTGCTTTAAATAAAATTACATTCCTTGTCCAGCAAGCAGAATAAAACATTTCCAATTATGTACAATTTCAGGATAACCAAGCCTATCAGAGATAACTTTAAAAAAAAAAAAAATCAAAGGTCTGAGCAGATTTCTTATACTACAATAGAAGATGGAATAACTTCTATTTGCTGCAGTCTTGTAATATGCTTTTAATTATAACTAGCAGGATTTCTTTTCCTCCTAAAAGGTGCTGTGTTATTAATTTAGTTTTTAACATCCTTACATTTCCCAAAAGACTTCTGGGGCATAGAAATATGTTGCCTGACCTACAAGAGCAAAGAATTGATTCGTTTAAATAGAAAGTGTCATAAATATTTTTGTTACATGATAATATTACAGGAAGATAATATCCAGACATGTTACAGATTTCTGTTAAGAAGCCAGCTAGTAAGCTTTAGTATTATTGTTACTGACAACTTCATAGTGGCACACGAAGTGACCTGTGGCGTATACAACTATGGGGGCAGTTGGATATTTTTGTGAAGCCATTGATGTCTTCTAAGAACAGCTCAGGAAACTATTATTTTGAAGATATTCTATGATCCAAAAACTATGGAAAGCAAATAAGAAGCAGAAACATATCTTCTGAATAATACTGGTATGGAATATACAAAGACACAAGCATTTTGAATTAAAATGATCATTCCTGGGAATTTTGCTACTT